GAGCAGCATGCTTTGGCATCAAGTCTTGTTTGCACAGTACATGCCCATATGTGAAGATGACTAGTAATGAGAGTAATCTTATGCATCTATTTCAGCCTACAGAAACACTCGTTCACAAGATGACGGAAAAAAAAACTGCCATTTACACAGTACAGAGGAATGACACATAACTGGCGTATCCTTTTCATTGTATTTTGTACCAGGAGAAGCATTTATTATCAAACTGCAAATGTGCAAGAGTTAGTATACCATCTGCAGCTTACTATGAATTCCACAAAAAACTATGGCCTTATCATACTGAGAAAAAAATATGGACTACATCTTGAAACTCCATGTGACTTCAGCCCTCAGTCTTCAAAAGGGCATTGTATGCAAAGACACAGGTGATAACAGGACTTCTCTAAAGCCTAACTCCCCTCTGGCTATACAATGACCGTATGGCTTGAATCAAGACATGCCAATTGATGTGACGATGGGGAGGAGCATGGTGGAGGGCTATGGCACTGACAGCTTTCAGATGTTCACAGGAAAAAGCTCCCAGACTTCTCTGATAAGTCATCGGGGCTTTGTCTTTATCATTATGTCGGAACTGGGTTTGGTGGTGAGGAGGTCAAAGCATGTCCCCCTGCTGCCTGGTCTGTCTTGTAACAGAAGATAAGCCTTGGCTGCTTCTTGTTGAGCTGAGAAAGGAAACAGCGCCACGGAGATTCCAACCCCAAATGTTGTAGAATTGAAATTCATTCAGTAAACGAGTCCAGGCTTGGGTTGCATGCATCATCTTGAAGCTAAATCAAGTGGGTATAATTTGGAGAAAGTTATGGATCACTGACTTGAAGTCTGTATGATCATTTAGTATCTTTGTGACACTGGGCTACTGTGAACTGTCTGTACAGATGAACATAATTATTTCAAGAACTTTGAGGAAGTTCACGTGACAGCACAAAAGAAAGAGGGAACCATGGTCATGTTTGACAAATGCTTGCCATATGCTGAAATTGAAAAATGAACAGAATCATAAGCATGTTCATAAGAAACAGCAAGTAAAAATCATAACAATCAACAGCTGCCTTTGAAACCTCTGATTCAGCAGGGTGGCAACGCAAACAAGAAGAGCCTGAATCCCCACCAGCTTAAGGGTTAGCCTATGTTTTGTAGCTGACCCTGACCTTTGACCTTGTTGTGGAAGGGACAACAAAAGACCGGGATTCCCTACAGCAAGCCGTAAAGCATAAATAAAGTCACATTATTGCTGTCCATTAAATGCAGTCAATTTGGATTTAACCGCACACTGACTTTGACTCAGCTGGACTCAGAAACCACCTGCGCTGAGCAAGCACCACAGATGACAAAGCAAGGATGAGGGGAGGAGAAAGACAATGAAAAATGACAAGGAGAAGTGACAAACTGAATCGTATCCTGCGGGTGGGAGCCATCTACACTCGCACTGTGACTGAAAGGAGCGTGTAAAATTACCAGGACGTCCATTCATCAAAGGCAGCTGATGTGCAATGGGTGAATAAGTAACTGTGCTGAAATGGCTCCTTATCTCTGTCTGGAGAGAGGAGGTGTGGTGGTGCTGAATGCTCATGAATATCTATTTATTTGCAAAGCCAGGGTAGATTGGGCTCTCCTTTGATTGTTTTGAACCTAAGCTTTAGCACACAATAGAGAGGTGTGAATAATGCCTCCTGCACTCTTGTTTGCTCATAAAGAAAACCACATGCTTCAGGGAACATATTTCTGACATTATCTTGATATTTTCATTGATCACATGAGGCTAAGATGCAGCAAGTTAGACACATCTCCAACAGGCTGCTCTCTCAAAATAAAGCTAAGAGTCTGTATAAAGGGAACCACATAATGCAGCAAACAAAAGCTATAAACCACAGTCGCGAGGTGTGTCTAACCCTTCAGTCTGTTTACATATAACAATACCATGAGATTAAAAAGTTGAGATACAAAGAGAGAAGCTACTCGTGCGTACAGAGCATCACACCAAACCCAATACGAAATACTGGTGGTTTATTTTCGTATCCAGCCCGTAAGCTACAGCAGGGACAATATTAAAATGTATTTTAATCTTGCACCGTGAGCCACTTAATGTGCTGTATCCGTGCCGAATTGGAGACTGTAGCCTGTAGTCATTTCATAAAATGTCACCAGTTGTCTGATACAACGTGCGACACGCGTGTGTCAGTCAAAGGGAAAGGCAGCCTTGAATTGAGAGATTTGTGACTGGAGTTTGGCGTGATGATGCCCGTGTATGAAAGAGCGGAACGTGAACACAGGCAACGTGAAAGGTAATGTCAAACTTACCGACTGAAGGAAAAGCAGTGTCCTAACATAATCCCTCTCGGTGTTGAGTGTTTCATTTAAAACACAAAGCCTGAGCCTCTGCTGTCTGTCCGAGTCCTTGGTGGCGTGGATACCGTTCTCATGATGCCCGTCGTCCTCTTCCATGATGGTAATTCAACCCTCAGAGAGGTGGCTCTCTACACAATTACTCTTCTTTCTCTAAGTATCCACACTTTGCCGAGTTGTTTCTTCAGTCCATCTTGCAGCGGCAAGTTTTACCCCGAAACCCTCAAGAGCAGTGATGCGCAACGCACTACACGCACCGGAGATAAAGTTCGCCAAAAGTACCAAACAACAAGCGGAGAGCCTGGCTGTGTGGTCGCAACACCAGCTGAGGGCGAGCAATGCAACAGCAGATGAGTTCAGGCTGGAGACACGGCGGAGAGCAGCAGCAGCAGCAGCAGGAGGAGGAGGGACCCAGCGCCTGAGACACACTCAGTCTGGGGCCACAGCTCACTTCTGCAATGAGTACACAAACAAACAACACGGCCACAGGCACATCTGTACCCGCGGCCACTGTAGCTTACATTAGCTACTGGAGTATACCACAGAATATTATTACAATATATCACTAAGTAAACTCATGAAGTGCCACAATGACCCTGTTATAGTAGCTCAAAAGAAATCAATATAAAGGCTAAAAATGACAGCTGCACTGAAATGATTCAGCCTGGGGACTGCCTTCAGCACAATATGAGCCCATATAAACAGTGGTATACTAGCGAGATATATATGGAGTATACCCACACATTTTTCTGGCCGTTTACATTATACGTAACTATCAGACAAAAAGCCATTGGAATATATAGGAGAGTACACCCACTTCCTTCTCTGTAATCTACCCAACTTCCTAGTGGTACACCTACCTCATCAACCACCGCTATAAATGTATTAAAATGTGAAATAAAAGACTGTAATGCACATCATAAAGTCTTAAACTGAGTCCCACACTCACTACATTGTCTCTTTTTGACCTTTTGACTCCAGCAGTGAAATATAAGACCAAAATGCTAATGCTAGCTTATAGTATGTTAAAACAGCAATTCAAATGTTAGCATCCTTCCATCTACGTGACGCAATACATGCTAACAACTTAAGACTGAAATACAGGTCGGAAAAACAAGACTTCCAGGTTTTATGAAAAGTTGACTTACATTTTTTGGAAGAGTAAGTCTTTTAATTGAGGGTCACAACCTACAACGCTGTTAAATATTAACAGGAATGTTAATTGAGTAAATTAGCTAAATGTTTAGGCCCCTACCTGTCACAGTAGTATACCACCTGTAGCTACCGTTAGCTAGTAAATTTAAGAGGAAGGTGCCCTCTGGTGGATACAGGCACAACTGCAACTTTCAGCACAGGTGATGTGATGAACTGTATGAAAGTGATAACATGCTCAAGTACAAAGAAAGCACTTTAAATTACAAGTTTTGTACAGCAACTCGCCTCGTGCCTATTTTGACTAAATATATTGAAAGCAGGCACACTTGAGTCTCGTGCCTAATATAAGACTGCTCGCGGCTACTATTTGATGTTGAGTCACTTTCCCCAGGCAATCCGAAAATGATGTGTTATCTAGAGCATGGATGGTTTTATTTTCAGTGTAAATATGAAGTCAAATGCTCTTTTTTTATTTAAACCACTTCTATGAACAGTGTGAGGGTTTACACCTGCTCTTGTTGGTGTTCACATGAGTGCACCCATATATGAAGAAGGGGGAAGAAGGGGAACACCACCTAAATTAAGAATTCAAATATGTTATTTCCATGGCCAGGAAAAGTTCAGTCACTGTTTGTGAACATGAGTTACTCACCCTCAGAGGCAGGAACCAGAGAAGTAAGTCTCAATCTTGTGATGTCATCAAGTATAAAGTCTGGAGCTGCTTCATTGACAGTGAATGGGAGGTTGATTTTATGGACCCACAAAATATTTTTCTTTGTTCCCAAATGAGCTTGATTCTACTATAGTGTTCTCAGCTCATATACACAGAACATTCCCCTGGGTGCTCAGTGTCATCCAGTACACCTTTCACCATTCATTGTCTGTGGAGCAGATCCAGATTTTATTGACTGTGACATCTTAAATTTGAGTTTTAGTACTTTAGTTTTGGGATTTGGGAGAGTTGTTTATATTTGCTAATATTTTTGGACTGTCTAAGATCATATGATCAACATATGAATGTTGAAAATGGGCGTAGTTACCCTTTAAGCTCACATAAAAGACTTGTCATGACTGACTGGGTGCAAATAATGTTTTCGGTTACAGTACATTAATATTTCATTGGAGCTTCAGGGCATGGAGACACACCTACTGTCACAGGTCTCACCCCGGAGCTGCTGACTGTTTTATCAAGTTAATATCTGGCTTGTTTCACTGTACTCATACACCAGACCACCGTTAAAATGCCACAGGCCACATTCACTCTGTTTGCATTGCAAATATTCATAAAAGAATAACTGAAATGTTTGCATTTTATTCAAGGATAAATTTGGCTCCTACTAATGAAAGTAACTGAGATCTAAATATACAGCTGCTTCTAGAGGTAAAAATATCAATTAAGTATTAAAAAAGTAAAAGTGGAACTTAATTTTATTCCTCATAGACATCCTGTGAACAAAAAAATCAGATATTAGGAATGGGAGAAATTAAAATGTCAATAATAGTTTTAATCGATGCATGTTACATTCAATACCCATTGTGATGCTCCCACACATAATTGCATACATACATAACTTTCCTCGCCAACTCAGATGAGGAATGCAACAGACAACTTGTAAATGCCTTACACTATCATATATTTACATATTATCCTCCGCTTCTGTACATGGCAAATCTTTAAATATGATCAAACATCAGAGGAGTAACATAGGATACAATGTATGACTGATTGTATGGAGTTTCTTTGAAGCATATTTAATGTACTTTTTCCTTCCAAAAAAAGGCAATGTGCATAAAGCACGGTCATAAAAAGTGAGTCACACAATTAGACATGATAGGTTAAAAACTCCACGACACCTCTCTTTCATTCATATTTCATAAGATAAAACTTTTCCTTCAGCAGGGTTTTTCTTTCAAAATGCACAAAAGTACAAAAGGACACGTAAGGTAACCAAAGGGAATAGAAAATAAACGTAACATGTGCTCAGTGCATTAAGACTTTCCAATATAACAAAGAAACTAGAGGTGTTTGCCCTGTTCCATCGCTGTGATAAATAGATTCACATTGTTACAGGCAGACAGTGAGAGGGCTTGAATCAAAAACCAAAGTACAGTGAGTAAACAAAAGTGAAAAAGATTGTGAAGCCAAAAAAAAAAAAAGTTACTAAAACGTGTGAAGGCAAATCAGCACATTTGTGTTACCCAAACTAATCTGACAAGTTAAATGATGCTCTTTCTGGGTCAAAAAATTACAGCTTTGATCAGCCAAAATGCAAGCTGTATATAATGCTGTTAGCTACATTTAATGTTTTGGCCTTTGAATGCATCACCATAGATTTGTTTGGAGAAGCAAGACACTTAAAATGTGCTATAGTTGTGTTTGGTATTGGCAGAGACTTCAAACCTAAAATGTCTTTGCGGTCATTTCATAATCGCCCTGCAAACACCGAGTGCAAACTCCAGCAGCTCCGTAACTACAATTATATCAGTAAAGTCAAACATTACAAAGCATTAAAAGGAGAGTTCGGATTTTTTGAAGTGGGGTTGCATGGGGTACTTATCCATAGTCAGTGTATTACATATTTAGATGTCAGTTAGCACGGCTCAAGTTTGGAGAAGCAAGCAGGAGTGCCGACACAGACGCTAAGCAACGCACTGCTGTGGATGGGGGCAGCAACAAATCGTATTTTAGCCACTTGTAAAAAAGTCCCACCTTGCTATATTAAGTGTATTTTCACCATTTTACCTTACCATCAGGCAGCCCACTTTGGCGGGGATACCCATCACCGTTTCAGTTCCCCATCTATGCTTTCATCAAAGCCACCCGACTCCAATGAGAAAAACAATAGTTTGAGTTATCTGCACATAGGAGCTGCTCATCTACTGCTGCCTCGATTAGTTAGATAATTTGTGTTATTGTGTGACTTTGTTGAATCAAAACAAACTCTGTTTAAACACCAAAGTCACACAATAACACAAACTAATTGATCGGGGCAGCAATAGACCAGCAGCTCCTGTGTTCAGCAATGTTAAATTACGTTTTTTCTCAATGGAGTCTGGCTGTGAAGAGGTATGACAGCTTAATTTTCCCGCTGGAAAACATTGTCTGACAGCAAGTTAAAGCAGTAAAAATAGTCTCAATAGAGCATACACTGAAACTAATATTGATGTTTTTAGATGGGAGTTTTTAAGGTGGTTAAAGTACATTTTGTTTCTGACCCCTCCACAGCAGTAGGTTGCTTAGCTTCCATGTCAGACTCTAGCCTGCCTCTCCAAACTGGGGTTGTGTCGATTGAAATCTACTGCATGCAGTATACTGTCCTGGGATAAGAATGTACAACACCACTTCCAAAAATCGGCGCTATCCCTTTAAGGGAAACCATTTCTTGGGTTAAGTCTTGACCAAGAAAAATTTCAAAGCTGTGTCATCTTGAGATTTGTTTTAAGTTACATAATTCATATTTAAATGCCACATATGGGGTTTTTAGGGGTCACTGTGACTCCTTGTAGTGTAAGTAATTTGACTGGCTGAACAAGCATACATGTGGCCACACACACACACATACACACACACACACACACAAACAGTGCAGTGGCTATTGTGAGATGGGATGACTTTCAGACTGGCACAGAGACAGCGCAGGTGTCAAAAATGACATCCACATACAGTAATACAACGTAGGAGTCCTAGAAATCATCTGGAAAAAAAAATATAAACAGCAATATCTGTGTGCTCAGTCAGCTGCTGCGATGGTCGAATGTGTGTTCGCACGAGGAAGACTTTAGCAGGTGTCTGCATGTAGATGGCGATTTGTTGTCAAATTCAGACAATGGGTGGATGCTGTCAATCATTTTCTTTGTTCTCTCGAAGCCGCTTGCTTTGAAGCAGCAGCGATGTATACTACAAAACATTTTTTTTTATAACGCTTGCACGTTTATCTCCTTGGCAAAAATCCAACTATAAATCCGTTTGATTAAAACAAAAACAGATATGCAGATCTGGATTTTGGACAGAACTCTGTATTACCAAACCATCATGAAATCCACTCGTATCATAGGGTTTAAAGGACAAACTTTTTACAATTTCAGAAAGGCCAACAGTGTAACTATTGTATTGCAGTTAATGACAAGCAGAAACTCTTTTGCCACAAAGCATGGACCTAAATGAGGAGAGACAGTCACTGTTGAACTTCAGCCATTCAAATCTTCAGTGAGTGGCTGCGACATAGAAATGCAGCTTTTTCCACCTTGGCATGGTTTTTGACACTTTGCTCTCTGAGTCAAAGGCAGACAGTGTTGATATATGTATTCATATAAATAACAAAACAGTACAGTATAAATATAAAGATTCTGTGTGTGTGTGTGTGTGTGTGTGTGTGTGTACACGCACAGTTGTAAATGGTGTATGAGTATAGGATAAGAGTGTGTGTGTGTGTGTGTGTGTGTGTGTGTGTTGTGTGCGCTTGTGAGCCAGTGTTAGGACAGGGCAGGGGGGTTAGAGGTGAGGCTTTCCCTCCCCCACCTCGTGGAAGAGCGAGGTGTAAAACTCGGGCTCCAGTTGCTTGTTGCGGTAACGCTGGACAATCTCTGTTATTTTCTGCTTCCGCCTCACGTGAGGCGGGTTGTACAAGTCACTTTCCAGACGCTTCCGTCGGCACACGTTGATGACCGTTTGGCGCACGAGAAACCCTAGGAGGAGGATGCAAACACACAAGCTTGTCAAGTCAAAGTAGTCAAATAGGAGAGTTTTGAGACTGTGTACAAAGACAACTAACAACTGAAAGTGCATGAAAATGTAAAGCTACAGTAAGTTCTTGCAGGTTAAAAGTAGTGATGATAAAAATCAGGGTGTGAAGGACCCATTGTTTAAAGTGAAACCGCTTCATTCAGTGTTTTTAGCACTTCAAATTACTGAATCTGTTTGTTTTGAAAAGCAAAAAACCTCTGCAAATAATTTGGCTCCCTGTAAAAACCTCCTTAACGTCTGGATACTAAGTTATCAGAATAGAAAGATGAGCACAGATGAGCAGGTGCTTGGTTAGCTGCCTGTGTCCAACATGCCAAACAGCATAGAAAAAAAACTCATTTGTAACATTAACTGCTTTATTCAGTGTTTTTACCAAGTGAATTCACAGGATTCGTATGTTTTAGAGAGGAGGAGACTTCTGTGGATAATTCGGCTCATGGTAAAAAAAACAAAAAAAACTGAATATCTGGGTCAGAAAAAGGTAAGCAAATATGCAAGTGCCAGGCAAGCAGGCTGTCTGTGTCAGAGAAACACTGATTTGTAACGTGAAACTGCAATATTATTTTTGACGGCATCACTCACCTGGACCACAGCTTTGAAGAGGAAAAGACTTTTGCTGATAATTTGGTTCCCGCTATAAACCTTCTGAACAAACACTAAAGAAATTCTGACCAGGAGAAGTTTCAGCTGGTTGCAATCTACAATCCTCACCGCTAGATTCCATTACATCCCCATAAATCTTACTGGTGTGTTACAAGCCACAACTTCCGCACTGACAAACAATATAAACAGATTAAGTGGAGTTTGTTTCCTATGCATTTGAAACTCAAATGCCAGCTTTAAAATATTTATGTGAGCGCATTTCCAGAAGCTCATCAATGATCCTATTAGATTCCCTATGGAAACTGTTATGCATTTATACTTATTGTCTTTGTTCTTTCTGATGCATGGTAGGGAGGAATAAACAGAGAGAGAGCCATATAAACCATTACCTAGTGCTCTGCGGCTGACCACCATGCCATCCACCAGGGGAATCACCATGCCAAATTTACCCACGGCTCCATGCAGCCGGATCCTGAAAAGCCCCGTCTTCAGAGGGTGGATGAAGATCAGAGGAACATCCTTCTCTAGTAACCCTGACCTGCAGCAGGAACAATTAGAAAAACAGAGGATGGTGCTTTAATGATGATAAATTAATATAGAACAACTGAGAAACACTGGAACAATACAATACAGAAAAAATAAAAGCACCACATTTACACTCCCATGACCTCATTTATACTTGTCAGTAACATGTATCTTGACAGACACATGTAGAACTTAACTGAACTCAGGTGTAAATGCCAACAGACTTTACTCCACATTAAACAATTATGTAGGCAGAGAAAATGTGTCTGTGCCTGACTGGTATTCTCCTGTGGTGCTGCTTTTTAGCATTTTAATTGCACAAAATAGCTTCTTCGATTGCTCTGAAAATAAGAAAAACTTAGCAATCTTCACATATGCCACTCATTATCTTTTAGGAGACCCGGCTACTTAGAAAATTAGATATGTCACTTTTAAATGAGCTGTTGTCATGTATCAAATCACACACCTCCAGACAACTCTCTCTCAAAAGGGCATTGTGAATTTGGTAAAATACAAGCCATTTAAGTCTGTTTGAGGCTTGTGGTCTTGTTTTTTGTATTTGTTTATTTACCAGGGACAGTGCACATTAATCAAGTATCAGTTTCCACCTCAACGTAAATGTGCCAGAGCTAGCTAATAGGCTAACTTCCATCTGTAGCTCCTAGGCAGGTTATTACAAAGTAATGTCCTCATGTCCTTAATACAATGCTTCAGCAAGCACTACAGTACAACACAAAACAACACAATACATAAAACATTACAAAAGTAGCAGATATGTGAAAACGAAAAGGGCATGTGACAGCAGTGCCTGAGATGAGGTGGTATAATGACTCATGACTGTAAGTTTGGTTAGCTTTAAGCTATCGCTTGAATTTATATTCAAAGCTTGGTAATTAGTGCTCTCTCCTAATCCAATGGGAAGACTATTCCAATAGTACGTGGCTCTGACTGACAAGAATGTTTGCCCAATCTTCCTACGTCTGTATTGGACAACACAGTCCTCTCTGGTAGTTGCCAACTGTCCTTCACTTAATGTCCACTTAGCCCATGTAAGACCTTAAAGAAGCTGTATGCAACATTCAGAGCAATAAAATAAGACATCACCTTGAGCTTTTCTCCTTAAACAAAAACATCATTGTGGTGAATCTGCGGGTTTCTGTCTTGTTTATGTTATGTGGCTTCAGGTCACGTCAATCTATCTGATCTTCACAGTGAAGATGATGAGTAGCATGTTATCTCACCTCTAAAAAGCGGTGGCCAAAACAAGATACATTTGAATCGTGTTTCGCAGAAACTGAATTTTCCTTTAAACAACTTCACACTTGTAACGATTGTCACAGCCCTGCCACAGTTCCATTTCTCTGCCTGCTTTTGCACACGCTGCATATTGTACTTCCTGTTTTGCAAGGTATGCTTGGGTACTGTGTGTTGTCCTGCATGTGAGAGCACATGCTGTTTGCATTTTTTTTTTTTTTTTTTTTGTTCTTCCTTTTTGCACCTGACCAAAACCGGTTCATGTACCGTAAGTTCTCCATACTGGCAGCAGAGTGCTTTGAGTGTAAACTTCTGAATACCTGCAGGAAGTGCTGTTGCTCATGCTGGTTTCCAAGCCCGTGCTGGTTTCCGCCAAGAGATCAGACAAGGGGAAGTTTTCTAGAAACACAGAAACAAAGAAACTCACATACCTCATTTCATTGGTCACATACTTAAGAAAAGCTTATCTATAGCCACCTTTTAAGGCTACACATGTTAAGTAATTACTATAAGATTTACTAAATGTACAAGACAAAATGCTAGAGAAAGAAACAGAATAGAATCTATGGAGAGAGACAATAAATTTTTCTCCACAACTAATAGTCTCAAATGATAGGACAGGGGGGCAATATAAAGAGCTTGTGCCTACCAATATCATCAAAGCGCTCTACCCAGACCACAAACACCTTCGTCTCCGGACCCAGTGGTGGGAAGGACTTTCCAGTCGATGACCTCTTTGTCTTTACCAAAGGACTCAGCTACAGAAATAGTACAACTCATAATGAGTTTCAGCAAAGACTACATAAATCCTCATCAGTGCTGTCTGCATACAGTTCAGACACTCTAACATAAGGCAAACTTTACCTTTTTGGCAGACTCCAGGTTTTCAGAATGGTTGGGGAACAGCTCCAGTGTGAGATTAGGTTGTTTGTTTAAACCAGGCATGAGGTCTGTGTTCGTGTCTGCTTCCACTGTGGAGTCACTGTGCACTGATGACTCCTCTGAGAAAGAGCAAAGGAAAAAATGGCAATTTTATCAACCTGTAATACCTCACTGGATTTTCATTATGGATGCACCAATTTCTCAGCCAAACATCAGTATTGGCCAATATTCGCCTCGTTGATTGTCATCAGCCTAACAGCAAAAATTATAATTATTTATTGTGTCACGTAAATTATGAGAGGCTAAAAAGCAGAAAACAAGACTAACAATGTCCCAAAGACAAATTGAAAGTGTATCTGGGACAAACAGACATCAGACAAACAGATATCTTTCCTGGGACACCTTCAGGAAGAAAGGACACAGAAAACTCACTATCGACACATCAGGGGACACACCCAATTATTTTTGTGAACAACAAGTCTGTGTTGAAATCAGCAGGAGAAGAGCTTAACATCAGCTCTAAGCAGCAAGTGACTGGAGCTAGAAATGAGTACTGAGCAAAAGTAAATTGTAACATTATCATGATGTGTTCAATGTCATTTTGTAAAATGTAGTCTTTGCCCAGAAATGTGAACAAATACAACTTTTTGAAGGAGAAATATGTTGAGGTTTTAACATGAAATAGGTATTAGGAAATGATGATTATATAGAGTAAAAAGGCTTTTAAAGCAATTATTACAAAGATGTTTAAATTTGAAAGGTTATTCTAAAAGTTATTTCATAAATTTGTATGACTGAATTTATGCTCAATCAAAGACAGCGTAAAGTAGGGCTGAATGACTTTAAAATAGTTATGATGAAGATTTATTTGTTTCCCTGGCACACAAGGGGGATTATATAACAACAAAAACAAAATAAATAACTACAAAAAAAACCCCAGTATCAGCTCTCGGCCAAAATGTTATTTTAAACATCGGTATCTGCCCAGAATTTCACAATCAGCACATCCCCGGTTTCCATCATATACAATGTCTATCAAATCATAATCAAGGTAATAAATACTGACCAGAGTTTTCTGTTAGAGATGGAACAACAAAGGCAATCTCTGTCAGAGCATCAGCATAGTATAAAACTTTCTTCTCCCCGTTGAACACTGAACCTCCTGTGTCCTCAGGAGTAGCTGCATCATCTACAGTGAAAAAAAAATTAAAAGCTCAACACTGACTCAGTTACCATGAACATCGACCACGTAGATAAATAACAGATGCCATGACGTGCATTCATCCAAGGTCTTCCTCAGATCTAATGCTGTAGATAACTTAGTAGCTTACCCGTTTGTTGTATATCATTGCTATCGGAGCAGGAGTTAAGGGACCAACTGGTATCTAGGTGTCCTGTCCACCCTGGGTGGCGTCCCACGTCCACAGGCCAGCCCAAGGACAGCAGGAACTCCAAAAAGTGGGGCTGGACGCTAGATGACGACTCCACATTCCGCAGGATCTGATCGCCGCAAGCACATCGAAACACCCATTCTTTTTTACATATTTTATGGTCAACACATGTACTACGTTTTCAAGTTAAACTCAAGCCATTTCATTCCAGCTGTAGTTAAATACAAGCCAAACTGGTCAATCATTACACAGTGTATAGTTTTATTTTATACAGAATCTGTTTCAAGGTCCCTTACCTCGGGGCTACTTTTCTGTCCAGCCCTCACGTAGAAAATAAAGACAGTGTCAAATGGTCGGCAGGGAAGCAGGTCCAGGTAGCTGATGTCATCAAAAAACCCTGGCAGGGATGACTCCAGGCCAATCAGATGAGGAGGTAGACGACTGTTGTTGGGCTCCTATCAATGACAAATAAATATACATACATTCTATATAAACTATATTAACATTAACAATATTATAAATGTATCTATTGTTCATGCTTTATACATTACAATATCATCAACGATATAATTTATTCAGATGACTTATTCCTCTGACTTCAATAGAATCACAATGTAAAAGTACCAGCAGAAATAAAGTATAATTTAAGGTTTAATTTTGGAAGAAAATGCTTTTTATAACTTCAATCCGAGAGACTTTCGCATCAGCCATGATCAGACAAATTATGTTTGCCAACCTTGAGTGCCTCCAGAGACAGAAAGCCAAAGTGAGAGAGGAAGAGGCGTGCTGTCTGGAACTCCTGCGAGGGTGGAGGAGGTTTGCAGTCTGTCTGTGGGTCAGGGTAAGGCTTGGACTTCCAGATATCCTCGCTGTGCCGCTCCAAGGCGTTCTCATACTCTATCTGCTTGGTCATCTGAACACGAAGCCTGTCATGCTGAACTTCCAGCTGAAAAGAAGAAGGGGCATTAAAGAAAGATAACTTTAAGAGGCTGTGGCTGATGAATGGCACTTGATTGCATAAACCCAGCATTAACCCACAAAGGGAAAGTCCCACGGTCGAAACACTGAGGTGTCACCTCCCAAACAATCACTAGTGTTCACCTGTGCTTTAAAACATTGGCATTAGCTAAAACTATACAATCTCATCCAATCCAGTGCAACAGCTCTTCAATAAATTCAGTCTTTTGAAAGCTTTTAATGTTCACTTTCTCAGCACAGTGTCAGAGAGGCATTGACTCAACTCTGTGCTATTTATTTATTATTTATTGGTATTGCATTGGATTGAAAAAAAAAAAAAAAGCGCATCATCTAAGATCAATCATGTTTCCCACCAAACCAGATGATTACACCCTTTTTCCAAGAGACACCCAAGTGAAATTTCATCTCTCCAACAACTCACGTGTGGGTAATTACTCATCAGTGTATTTGTAGCTTTCGAATCATCCTGCCAGCCCATACAACACACCTGAGTTTATATAATAACAAATAATATGAGCAATTAATTTACTGCATGGCTCTATTTTTGCCATGACAACAAACAGTCTTGTTGTAGCTTGTGCAAGAAGTAGGATAATTTAACTAGTCATAAGTTGTAACGGATACAAGATCAATAACAGGGTTCAACAGGAAGCAAATCTCACCTCTTTGCTGACAATGTCATCCAAGTCAGGAATGCTGACATCAGCTTTGACAAGAGGAATCTTATCCACCTCTTCTGGGAAGGGCCTCTGCTTGACGTTGTATCTGATACCCACATCATTGTTAGGCGTTGGACGGCCCTCTGGAACAAACATCTGCTGTGGAAGGAGAGAAGGAGACGAATATGGGGCAGAGTGGTGTTATGAGCAAAACAGATGTGGAGGTTTTACAAAAGCAAAGCTCAAGCATGGCATTTTAACAACATTTCTGAAGTGGTATTGGTTTAGCATTGTTATGTTTTATGATAAAGAAAACTGCAGAGTGATCTCACCCTCTGAGTGGCCCGAGCTCCTCTGGGTTGGTGGAAGAGCTGCATGGTCCAGGCATGTCTGCCAGCTGTCCCTCGGATCAAAACTGTCACTGATGGACTGGGGTCTGTGAGGACAGAGATGCTCATTTATGGAGAAACAGGATGTCCTGTTGGTAATTCATTTTACATAACTAGTGCTTGGTACATGGCGGGTGACACAGTCTTTACTTTAGCATTCAAAATGAACCAAGCAAGACCACAAATCTCCTCAATATTACGACAAACTGTATGACGTCAAAGGATGGAGGACAAGCTACTGACTCTGCTCATTGCCGAGAGGTTGCTCCAGCATGGCCAGGATGACCGAGTTGTCCAGGACAAAGTAGCGGAAGTTGCTGGCTCCTGTGGCACTGAGTCTGGCATAGCGAATCAAGGTGTCTTCATTCAGCAGGCTGCAGGTGGAGGCAGGCCCGCTGGGGGAAGGGAATGCCCCCAACACCTGCATAATACTGGGGAACACCACAGCAAATTGGGTCAACAGGGATAGTACCTTTTACTTTCTAATAGCCGTCTGTGTGCTGTGTCCAGGTTCAGCAGGAAACCTGGGGAAACTAGGTCATTGTATCAGCAGGGAAATACATAATTCAGTACAGCAACTAAGATAGGAAGTCCAACCAAGTTACAAAATTATTTTTGGGATAAAAAAAATTCTAAGCAATATTAAAATGAATTGCAAATAACATTTTATCATTGAAAAGAATAAAAACTTTTGGGTGGGTGCTGCGCTTAGGCAACAACACTCTCCCAATCGGTAGTAACTGCCATAGAAGCTCATAAAAACTGACTGATTTTGACACTTGCAGCTAAGTTCTTAAGCTGGTGATGAACTGATTGTATTATGCTTGTCTTCAGTTTGCAAATGCCCTGACATAGATATAATGTTAACTTTGTGATTGGCTATCTGCATCATTGCAAGCAGTCGTGACTGCTACAGCAGACGAGCTAAGTGATCTGAACTGAAAACTGAATGTCAGTTTGCAGGCTATTTAGTATGCAAAGGAACATTAGCAGTCCTAATGTGCTTTTCTACAATGGACATTTGTTTGCAAGCTTGTCAATGACCATTGTGCAAATTAAGATTAGTGTCTATGCTTGTAGATAAGGAGACGCCATGGCTAGAAAGCTAGTGTTTGCTGACGTTCCCAGTTCATGGCATTTATATGTCAGTCACACAGTGCTGTCTGGATGTCACCAAGATGCAGATGATAGAATGATGATGGTTTTATGCAAATATATTACAATTTCTTTTTTGAAGAAGAAGAAGAAAAATCTGTCTGTTGAATATACAGACAGGACACAGTGTAACACAGTATATTAACCCGATTAACAAACTGTAGTTTCAGATCCATATTGTAGAAACTTTTAGGAATCTCACCAGGACAAAGTCGCCTCAGCAGCGTCCTTCACCCTCATTGAAGCTGGGTTGTGCTCCTTCTCCCCTTTATGTCGGACTTCCTGTTCCTGTCGGGATTTGCTGCCAGAGATTCCTAGCTCCACAATCTCCAACACCTCTACTAAACAATCCTGATCCAAATGAAAAGGATAAAGGACAGAATCTCAGAGCAGGAGTGCAATTTTTCTTTCCACATACATGAGGCTAAGACTACATTAAACATAATTACCAACAAAGTGTTCCTGTAAAATTCTGAGAAAATAATTTCTCTGAGAAATGGCAAGGAATCCAATCTTCCGTATGTTCTTGGTTGAGTTAAATTTTACCAAACAGAACTCTACTATATAAGGGAAATTAATTCAGTCTTTAAAGGTACCTTCTCATCCAGCATGTCAGGATGTTCTGTGAGCCACACACACAGAAACTGGAAGGCAGCTACAATCATGGAGTGCAGGTCTCGGGACTGAAGAGGAGCTGGACGGCTACACTGGTACACAATGTACCCACATATAGAGCTGACTGCGCGTTTACGATCTGCAGAGTCCACTCCAACCTTTACCTGGTTAAGACAAATACAAAAAATTCAGTACAATGTACAATACAATGTAAGCTACATTATGAAATACTTTCTTTTACGCATGTGTGAACAGGTTTTTTTAGGCTTTGCTGAGATTGGTTTCTTTTAGATATTGATCAGATATTGGTTATTTTACTGATTATGATACATTTGATCATTTGAGGTTTAAAATAAGTTTTTAAGTTAAGTTACAGTACTGTTAGGACTAGCATTTATATCAATTTTACTGAAACCTCAATGTTACCTTGGCCTTGGCATTAATAATAACAACATGGAGCAGGGGTTAAGATCCTGCTGACATAGTTAAGCCCAGTTCAGACCACAGATTACCGACAAGACAAGCTGTAACTTGAAACTACTTGCAATGCACCAATTTACAATGTTCTAAAAACCTGCTAGTTTTCACTGATGCAACTAGACAAGACGATGTATCATCTCAATAGCAACAACTGTCTGTACTTCCATTCTGACTTCCAGCTTTTCAGGCTTATTTTGCAGCTGAATATAACATTTAGCTTCTTAAAATGTGAATGAGGATAGTGATAGTGAGATACTTGCTATAGTTGCATTTGTAATGGTAAAAAACAGCGAAAACATAAACAAAATGACCAGAGATTCAGATGGACAGTATTCATAATAAATACACCACAACAACCAGTGGTGATTAATCTGTTAGTGTGTATCTGTGTGTGTGACATGCTCATATGCAGGAACCAGCAGCTACCCACTGTTCAACACTGACACACCGTGAGGAGACGGACATACGTGTCAACACCCACAGGAATGTTAAAGAGATGGGTTCGGTGGGGTCAGAGAGCTGTTGTCATAACATTAAGCAGCAAGGTAGCTGACCTTGCCAGTGGACTTCACTACAATTTTATTGGCTGTTGAAACAGATGATGTGCCTTACCTTGTAAAACCAGCCACTGGCAACTTGAGAAGCTAAGTTGCATTCAACACCATCAGGCGACCTGAGTCGAGCTGAGACAGGCCAGTTCACACTGCTGCAACTTTTCCCTGCATCATTCTAAAACGGTTTTGTCTTGTTGCGATTCTTTGGTCTGAACCGGGCTTTAGTTTCAGGTCATCAGTCTCTATGGTAACAGGGTTTCTTTTTTTCTATAATGTTTTCCGACAATGTTTTTGGAGTAGAAAATCCAGTATTCACCTGTAAAACACCTGTGGTTTTATAAAGTGAGTGTTTGCTGAAGTGGTAATAAACAGCTTCTGCTGTTTGAAACACGGCTGATCTGAAACTAAATTTAAGTGTTTCAGCCTGGCCTGGCAGGCGAGTAATGACTGTAGATTATTATACTTATTCTTTGTGGTGTATCAGACGTTGTATCTTTACCTTGGCAAGCCCGGCCAGCAGCTCCAGGGCAGCCAGTGAAATGCTCATATCTTGCCTCCACTGTGAGTTGAGTCTCTGAGTGACCAGGTGGATGCTGCGCACCAGCAGGCCTGCCGCCGTATCTGGAAGAGCTAGACCATATAACACCCCGAAATACCAAACACCGCAAAGAACAGAGCAAAGCAGGATTCAGGCAACACAGGCAAGGTAAACAGGACAACAGGCAAAATGTCCTGGATGCCGCATTATTAGATATGTCTTGGTACTGAAAACATGCATTAGAATGGAGTTTGAAATCAGTACAGCACACAATGTTGAGAAAAATGTTGGTAGAAATAGAAATAAACTGCTGAGGAAAAGAGCTGAGCGATCAAGTTTTGACTTTGACTAGACTTTTGACTTTAAGAAAATATAACTCTACGAATGATATAATCATCCAAAACTGTATATATTAATAAGTTACATATTTATTACACAATTACATGAACCATAAATATACTGTTTTTATTACCTCATGGGTTTTCTGTGAATTGAATTTATATACAAATTTGTAAAAGGTTAGAATTTCTTGGGATATGTTTTGCTGCTTCGTGTGCAGTTCTAAGAAAAAAAATCACCACAAAATTAAGGCTGACTTTCTGTTGAACAACCGTCAAGTTGCCTGAATAAATCCAGAAAAAAAGTATTAACCAGTGGAAGTCACAGAGCCTTAAGTAAAGGCTGTGACAAAACTAAAATTTTACCTCTACGCAGTTCCAGTACCTTAACTGTTGTTAATTTTGTCCCATGCAGGGTAATCATTTCTAGCTGACTATCCATTTCAGAGATTCTAACTAAAGAACCTGAGGAGGTCTAAACACACAACATAATGCTTTAAAATGTAATTATGTTGAGGCTTCTGTATTAAACCTCTCTATCTGGCTCCATTTTTAATAATTCTTTAAATTTAAAATGAGCAAAAACATACCTCCTAAAACCCTAAATTGGCTATAGTGTAAGTAACATCTGTCTCGAGACCCATAGCCACTCTTATAATTCTTGATCTTCCTGTCCAGCACTGAGCCTCACAACACAATGTAACCATCCTCTCCCACAGGAACCCCCCCTCCCATTTCCTGCGACACAAAGTCGCCCATATGTAAAAAGTGTTTGGGGAAAGTAGATATAAAAAGTAGATATAAACTTGTGGACAACATTAAATGAGGGCAGTCCTCATTAATTTATTATTAAAGAAGAAATAAATTACATAAATGCCTCTAACATCACAATGTCCAACATATTAATTAAGTCAAACGTCGCTCAGCCCTGTTGAGGAAACAACAGAATCTTTGAAATGCTTTTGATTAGGCAACACTGTTACAACCAATCAGTAAGAGAAAAAAGGCAAACAGCCCGAACACTCCATACGTCCCAGTGCCAAACAGATGTTTAACAACACAGCATCACAGCAAATAACTTTGGTATCACCTACAAAGACATTTTACCCAACGCTTCTTAACTCTGCATACCACTTTAACCACGTTAGCTACAAACAACAAATGTGTTAATTAGTTATGCTTGATCTGACCAAAGTTGGCATCACTGTGTTAATTCAGCGCACACAAGGATATTAGTGTATGTGGAGCAGCTGTGTGTCTTACCGTAGTCTCGGAGCAGGGCCTGGGCAGGACGCTCAGAGTCTGGGCTTGTGGCCTCCGTGCTTCCCCCGCTCGTGAAACTAATGCCACTGTTGGTACGGCTGTGACTCTGACTCCTCACCGTCATGTGGCTCCCATCTATACTCCCCTACCACCACAAAAACACAGTCATCTTGATGTCCAATCCATCACTGCTGCTAGTATTATAAAATGTTAATCATTCATCAGTAGAGAACAGCAGTGATCTGAGCCTTACTGTTTCAGTCTGTGCACCTATGGACTCCAGCAGTGCTGAGTCTTGAACAATATTTAGCATTGCACCTGGGGGGGGGGGGGGGGGGGGGAGGGGTGTCAAAAGTTTAACAACACAGAGAATAACAGACTTTATCACAGTCCAAAAAAGGTTTAAGTAGCAAATATACTGCAAAAGTAATATGGAGGAGCAAAGTAAATAGATAAAGAAGCTAGTAGATACCCAGGATGAGCTGTGTGTTGGTGGGGTCAGTCTCAGTCTGAAGTGCTCCTATAAGGACATTGACGAGACGTAGCCTCAGAGACAGAAAGGACACGGGCTGGTCATGAGGCCACCCATCCTCCTCATTGAACTTTCCTTCCAACAGAACCTAAAGCAAAACATTGACATGGTAAAAAAAAAAACAAGCATACCTGTTTGAGCTTTATGACACAGAAAATGTTTCAACAAGGATTTCACATAAGCTCAGGAAAAAAAATGATTCAATTCATACCACAAACCCAGAAACAAACTAGGGGTGTCACAATTTCAATTCTAAATCAAGAATCGATTAAAATGATTCCAAAAAAAGAATCTGAAAACGTAAATGGCCTGGCAAACAAACTTCAATCTGCTGATCTTTATGAATCAAGACTCGATAGTCTCGACAGTAGCATAGCCCTCAGTACTGGAAAAAAAAGTTTAAATCAAAAACTTAATCAAGTCGTGGCCTAAACATCGAAAGTCTAATCGAATCATGGATTTTAGAGAATTGTGACACCCCTAAAATATACTAAATGCTGCATTACAGTGGCAGATTTAAAATAAATGAAATGTTCAGATACTAAAGCTGTTGCAGTTACCTCTGATTTAATGTTGCCAAAATGATGCGGCAGTGGCAGCATGGCAAGCAGGATGTTGATGGAGGCTCTCCTCAAGTCGGTAGGATTTACATATATCTTGAATTTGGACAGCTCCCTGATAGAGTAAAACAAATCTTATCAATTTCAATAAACTTAAGACAATATTCTCAAAACCTCTGACGAGAAATCTCACTAAAATCATATAATCCCTGAATATTTCAAGTAAACAAGTAAGGGATAATGCCCAACAAGGTGTCCATTATTACTAATTTATGGCAGACGGGGGAGGCCATCAATTCCTGACATGGGACGCCTCAAAGGACATTATCTCACTAATACCATGGATACTTGCCAAAGAAAAAAAAATATTCACTTATATTTTCATGAATATTGAGATCAAAATCTTACGTTTTTCACAAGCCATAACTCGGCTTCCCTGTTTACACCTGAGGGTTTAACTAATACCTTGAACAATCATTACATCTTATTGGGTTCTTATGCAATGGAATTGTTGTTCACTACTCCAATAAACACAACGAACCTTAGGTATGATTTGGCAACGGAAGATATTTCCAGTCTGCTCAGCTCATAGCTAAAAAGCTAATGTTGTGCTGGCAAGATTCAAAGTCATTCAATGACATTGTGTGCAGTTGGCAGTATGCTAACATGAAGACTAGCTTCCTATTCAGCTTTGGCCTTGTCCCAAAATCAGTATCAATATTCTCATGAATATTGATACACCATATGTAACATAACGTCACTGTTGGCCACAGCTTAAATTATTGAGTTAAATAGGGAGCGGGATGTGAGATGATCGCTGATGTGATATAAAGTTCAGAGGGCCAGTGTACTTCTTGCAGCTTGGGTGTCGCCAACCTTTGGTGTTCAAAGTATGAGGCACTAAAGGCCTGCACACAGTCTTGTAAATAAGTTGTAAACAGAGACTGCAACCCTGTTGCCATGGTTACTTTTATTGGATACAGATACATATTAGAAAGGTGAACAGACAATTTTACCGAAACTATTTAGTAAGTGTACATTATCAGGTTTTAATGGATACCCTATAGCCAATCAGAATTGAGTATGCATCCAAAAAAGCATCTAAAATATGCTAATTACAATCCAAAACCAGTCTCACCTGTCTGGTACAATAGTCTCCAGGGCAGCTATGAAGTAGGGCACCACCACATTGATGCCCTTCAGGTCAGTACAGAAGAGAGAAGAAGAGTTGAGTATGATAGAAGCCAGAACTGGTCTACAGATAAAATCAGAGATCTGGAGACCCTGAATCAGGACCATGTAGAATCTGCAGAGACAGGAAGAAAAATATATATTTTGCACTTTAAAATCCTAACAACCAATGTCACTAAAGCCCATTCCCACAGATATCTACGTTACCTGGACAGATAAACAGGCAGAATATCTTCTCCAGTTTTCTTGCTACAGAAGATGCGGCAGAGAGTCCCGCAGGCCTCAGCCCGTCCTGCCTCGTAGCTCTCTGGGAATTCATTAGCGTCGAACATGGGGTTGGACACCATGGAGTCTGTGGACATTTGGGAACCCTTCCTTCTTAGCTCCAGACCTACTTGAGTGGCTATCGCTGTAGAGAGTACGAAGAGACAAAGAATGAAAGGACCCTGAATTGCAATGTGGTCATTAGTATTCATGCATGTATGAGAAACAGGCTAACATAGACATGTAGCTACTATATGCACACAACAATAAAAAGGAAACATAGTAAAAAATGTTTTGTTTTTTTTTTTTTAAAAAAAGCACCATAAAGCAGATATTTAATCACTATCACAACAAGAGAGTACAAAGACCTCAATGACTGCAAACACACACTCACATCATTTAAAAGCATTCAAAAGGGAACTCTGACACAAAGAGTTTGCCACAGGGGTTCAACCTAAAGCATGACAAGGTGTGTTGGTAATAAAATGTTTTCAGCTGCATGAACACAAAGCAAAATCCCTGTGTCAGCTCCCTCGCCGTTGCAATTATATGACTGTCACTCAAGGTACAGAACATTCACTTCATGCATTGAGGCACCAAACAAATAAAATCAAAACTCAAGTGAACTGACAATACGAAAGGAAATTATAGAAAACAAAACATTAAAGCTGAACTTGAGGGGGGGTCTGAAACTAAATAATAAGAATTAGTGTGACCCAAATGAAAGATAAATGAGAACTTAAACAGGGTGGCGTTGTCACAAACTGGCAACGTTATGGTCGAGACAAGTGGTCAGTTGGTGAAACCCATTCCATCACCTTTGGAGAAACGCTGAGAGAACGCTGGTGAACTTTTATATATGACAAGCAGTGGGAACAGAAAAACAATGGCGATAATGGCGATGATCATGAGGAACTCAACTTAAAAGCAGGAAGATTTGTCAAAAAAAACGCAAATCAAGTGAGGAAAGAAAAGCTGCCGTTCCTACTTACAAGATTTATAAGAAAGGAGAATTTGGATAAAAGAGGCTGCAAGATAACAGAAATAGTGGAGAGACACAAAATCAAAGCAGATCCAATATTTTGGGATCAATTCATATCAGGCATGAATTGTTGTTTTTTTTTTGTTCTCCTCAATACATGACTTTTAACCCATTACAACTCTTTAACATTAACCAGACATGGTAGACACGTGCAGGACACTACACCAAAAAGAGAAAAGTAAATGGAGAGCCAATGATGAGCCAAATTTCTTTCCAAATGCTAAGTACTGTATGTGCTGTCATTGACTCCTCTAGCGATGAGTTTACCAATAGGATGGCTGTATGAAGTCCTTAGCATATGGTTATAGTATATATGCAGTTTTAGCCAGGTTTAAATAGTTGGTAGATGTAAATGGATTAGAATCAGATGGAAATCTCATCCCAGGCCACTTCTAACCAAGCCCTCCACACACAGAAAGGCACAAAGAACTTCCAGAGAAAATGGTGAAAAAAGGAAAGGATATCCCAAAGACATACAGTAAAAAATAACAGACACCAAAAACACGGATAACTCCACAAAACACATACAGCACAAAACACCCACCTGCCCATGCATAAATGGGAACGCTATTAGCCTTATCGCCCCACTTCTTACCGGTCATGCTGGGGTCTCGGCTGAGGCCGCTGTGGAGCTTACAGTGGACGAGTGCGGCATCAAAAAGCCACTGGCCGAACAGGTTGAGGATGCTGTTGACCTTTGGCCGTGCTGGGGCTGGCAAGGGCCGAGTCTCCCAACTGCTCTGGTTGGGGCTTGAAAGCAGTGTTGGGGAGGACGAAGTCTGCTGCTGCTGTTGCTGCTGGGATGCTTTGGTTGGCTGACTACCGCTGCCCTGCAGGGTGGGGAGGGATATCTGATTAGGCTGCTGACAACAAGATTAGTGTAACTCACAGGTCACACAGAGATAAGACGAGAAAAGATACATGTATTGTGTAGTGCTGGGGCAATTCATCGATGTAATCCATTATTTAAATAGTTGATTTGCAAAACATGCATTGAAGCGTCACAATAGAGCAAGCTGCGCCCACTCAAAGCACGGATTTCTCCAGAGAACAAGCGGCAGCCCATAGCTGTACCATGACTTATCACAGAATTACAACTGCTATGCACAGACACTTGAGGCAAAAGTTTCCCAGAGCGCTTTGTCAAGACGGCAGCAAGACAGCATCGTCCTTTTTACTTTTTGTCCCCACCCAGTTATATTAGGATTATAAACATGCCAAACATGTTTATGTTAGTAGTGGTCACTTCACTTGAACTGTCTGCACTGCTGCTAACATAACACCATGCGTCACCTAACATGGTTATTCCACTACTTTTCTGTTTACTTTACCGGTCATGCAGGAGTGAGAAAATGGTTTAAACATTTACAGTCTGTAAATCATTTCAGTTACTTTTCTTGCCCCACACTGATGCAAATATATATTTGCCATTACCTTAACTGCATATTACTCCAGTGATGAAATAAATCCAGGTCATAACCATTTTATGTTTTAAGAGAAGTGCTTAAGAAAATGGCTGCTATGATAGATAGTGATTAAAATAATGTGTCACAGCATTAGCAATCCTTTTGAGTTGGTGGTTCAGTTTTTTTCTGATCAGGCATCTAACAAATAGGGTACATAGGGATAGGGTTCAAAATATGCTGCAATTATCACTGATTTTAAGAGAAGATGATTGAATAAAATTATCTAAATATAAATGCGAAAAGTTTTTGATACTGATTTTAAGGTAAATTCACTTTTATATTGATCAAGTAATACAAATTTACACTTAAAATAATCTATAAATTAATTGTTAGATAAACTGACTGATCAAAGAAAAAAACAACAACATTAGATTCGTCGAGAAAAAGAAAATCAAAAGGTGCAGCAGTAGTCTATTCTTCCACACAAATCTTGGCTAGTGTGGCAACAAAATGTGTCAGAAATATATTTGCCTTGTTTTGTCTGTAGATCAACTACAAAACAAACCTTTTCTAACTCAGCACTAATTATCTGTTATGGTTTAATCTAATGCTTGAACTTACAGTTGAACTCTTGCTCGTGGTTTTGGTGACCACCGCATGACGTTGCTTGCGGCTGTGAGGGGGCGTAGTGTTGGTGATGGAGGGGGGCGGAGACATGCTCATTCTGTTGACTGGGGTGGGCGGGGCACTGTCAGCTCTGGGGCGTGATATACCTGTGGGCAGGAAGGTAAAATCAGCTGGGGACTAGAGTAAGGTCTTTTTTCCCCCATAGCAGGGGGAAGGGGAAGATTTTTGATTAGCAAAAAAGAAAACAATCTTGAAACCCCCACTTTTCAAGTGGACAGACTTGTTATGGTTAAATGTAATCATATGAAGCCATTTTCCCCATTTCTAATGTTATGAGAGAGAGAGAGACAAAGAAGCAAATGAGATGGCTTCAGAATCTGTTACTTGATCATAGATAGTATTCATTGGTAGACAAGCACAACAATGGTTAGATACGAATCAGTGACAATTAATATCCATTAATCTTGATTGATTTTTGGCCCCCATAAGAGACCCCTTGTTCATGATCTTGTAGGTTAATCTGAATATGTGGAACATATCATTTTGCTAAAGCAGACTGTTATGTTATGTTAATAACATCACCAACAATCCATAGACCGAATCACTGTGACATCGCGCGAACAACAATCACCTCCCTGTAGACAACTGGCAATTGTTTAACTGTAGAGACAGGTGAAATCAGACAACTTGCATATTTACGTTGCCATTTTCAGCCGTAAAACTAATGTTTAAAGATAGAAACATGATGGTCTGACCGATCTGATGTACTGTGCTGCTTTAACTGCGTCTTTGATAAATCAAATCTACCAGCACAGAAGCCAAGAAATGTACTGCTGTGGACACCGACGGCAGCATGACATATTTTGGCCACCTAATGAGACCCACCTGAACAAAAAATAGCAATTTCAGTTTAAGTTTACGCAACGAATATTTTCTCCACGTAACATTAGACACTACCCAATTGAGACAGTGGTAGACCAACAACTCCTATGTTCTGTTAAGTAAAATTTCTGTTTATGTCAATGGAGTCTGGTGGCTTTGAGATAACAGCTTCAATTCTCTGCCAGAAAGGGCTGTCTGGCAGTAAGGTGAGGCAGTAAAAACATTCTACACATAGCGTACGCTCAACTGAGATTTTTTTTGTTTGGTGGGCCCTTTTTATGTGGCTAAAACCTGATCAAATGCCCAGCACTGTTTTATTTTGTGTACCTGATGCGGGAGTATTCAATGCGGAAGTTAAACAAACGTTGTGATTCGGTCTATGGAGAACTTGATCATATGCCCATCTCATTACGTGACGTATCAGGTGATGTCTGTACCATGAGAGAGCAGCACTGGAGGAAAAATGAACACCCTCTCCCGTACATCTCTCTTTTCAACAGAGACACCTACAGTGTAAAGAGAAAAATCACACTGACATGTTTCTATTGAAATGTTTCAACAGGTATTTATTACTGACTGACATCCTCCATCTTGATTTTACTCAGGAATACAGTCCAGAGTAACAACTGCAAAGGAGTTAAACTGTTACTTGCTTGGAATTGCTGTAAATGGTTAAAATGACTCTCAGTGCGTATTATAGTACCATTTTCCCAACTAAATTACTATATTTTACATTTCTATTCATCCTTTTCTAAACAATACAGATCTTTTAGATTTTTAAATGTATTATCCTGCACTCCAGCACCAATTGGTATTCTTTGATTTGATGTGAACACAATTGGCCAATAAAGTCAATTCTTATTCTAAAGCCAAGAAGGTAGGAGTAACACATTTCAAAAACCTAAAACACAACACTATGCATTGCAAAATAAGCGGTAATGTTAACATGTTTTATTGCACTTTGGTTTAAAGGTACAAAACACTCCCTCTTACATGTCCCATGACTGAGCTTTTCATTTGAACTCTTACCCAAGAAGGCATCCACGAGGCAGCTGATGCCCCTCATGGCCCTGAAGAAGATCTGTGGTAGCTGTTTCAAACATGGATGCAGCACCACTTCATGAGGGATACCGCTAGAGTTAAGAAACTGTTCCTGAAACTTTGGAGTGGTGCTCACTATCGCAGGGTTGCTCAGGTCCACTGGGTTGCTAGAAACAAACAGATAGAGGGGAAAATTCATGTTTTAGGCAAGAGCTCACAGATGCCACCAAAGCTGATTTGGATAGCTGATATCCGATTCTGCTTTGGCCTGGAAATAATGGAATCAGTTCTCTGACATTAATATTGTCAGAACTGAGACGGGAATGCAGCCATTTTAAAGGCTGGAAGTAAAGCACAAAGAGAGGGGAAATATTTGATTGTAAGAGGGATGTAAAATATGTGGTACTTCACTTCCACTTTGTGCGACAACTTCTCTGTCTCTTATGACACATGAAAAATCATTTGTGTGGAGATAGTTTGATGGGAAAAGAACAACTCTTTTTAAGGTCAGAACCAAGGAATATTAGGGTTTATGCACCTAAGCATGTGGAGAAAGCGGTACCACGTCTGTGCCACACAGTCATTGTCCATCTCTAAAGGAATCAGGCTGGCATCTTCATCAGGAACCTTAAAAGGTGGGAAGGATGGTCCGTGGGTAAAGCGCAAAAGCCTGGATTGAGGAATTGAGAGAGGAAGGTACAGATTATCACACTCAGTTCAAAATACAGATATTTATTTTATCATTTTTCCTCTTGTCTATATTTCAACCATAAATACACCATTTCCCACTTTAGAGGCTACTTCTCTTAACTAAAAATTAGGTTTGCTTCTTTTCTCTGCAAACACAGGTTAGACAACAGGTTAGACAAGTCAAGTGACCCTTTATCTGAATTTCTATCAAACAACTCAGCAATACCTCAAGCATAAACAAAACTGTTTGAAACCTTTTTCAGCACTAAATCCAAGAGGTTCAGCGGATGCCTTTCTAACCTGGAGGTCAGGGCACAGGCCACCCTGCTCCACTGCTCTACAACAGGAGGGTGGTGTCTCCAGTTGGCCAGCATCTCCCTTGCTGTCTTCCAATATGGTGGCGTGGGAAAGCAGCGGGCACATGCCAGTAGCCACACCTCAAACAGCACTGCCATCAATTTCTCTGCCAGTTTCTCTGCCACCCCAACTAAAAGACATTGTGGGATTATTGATATTAGCAATCCTCATTAATAACTAAGTAAACACATCAAGAGTAGTTGTGTAGGGCGAGGCGGGGCATACCTCCAACCGTGGGTGGCGCAAGTAATGTGTCGTTGATGCGAAGCAGGAAGAGCAACAGCACCTCCCAGGTTTCCCTCACCATGGAAACAGACTCCCGTGCCAATTTCTGGACTGCAGTCAGGACCTGCTGGCAAAGCCTGATATGGTTCAGACTGTGCTGTTCAGGCCTGGAGGGAGAGACGGAGAGTTTGAAATAAGGGGATAGGGAGGAAATCAGAGAGAAAGGGGGAATCAGAAACAAACGGGTAAGAAAACAGCAGGCATTAGAAGTGACATTAGCAATCAAAAATGGGGTGCCTCTAAAATCCACAGACACTGAGCAAAAACAAATGTATACTTTTAAATTGAAAAACTACAGCTGATGGAAGATAAAGGCTCACCTGTGAACATTTCTGACATACCTTGGTACGAAGACGTTGTAGAGATGTTTAAGGATGGTCTGGACGTACATATTGGGCTCCTTGACCACAGGCTGAGGCATCGAGTCTCTGGGCGACACCAGGGCCATCATCCAGTCTGTGTACACATCCACACACAGCTTGACAGTGTCCCCTTCTAGGGGAAGGGTTAGGCCATAACACAGCACCTCCATGGTCCACTTCACCTAGAAAACAAAGCAATTTCATTAATTTCTGTGATATAATACTGTTCCTTTATGTCCATCTGTGCTCTGTGTCAGGTGAGTAAGCATAAGGTGTTTAGAACACCTGTTTTACTGTCTCAACAAGGAAGGCCAAAGGTTTAGGGCAACATAATGATGGCAATAACAATACAAAGCACGTCTTTAAGTTTCTTGCTTAATCAAAAACAGAGCGAATACTCAAAAGGCAAATGATACATGAAAACCAGTTCATCATTCTCCAGTCAATGTCATATTTAAACATCGGTGTAAATGTATCAACGATGACAGTATCGACAGGGGATGTCCCAATTATGTTTTCTTGCCCATGATCCTGGTCAAAATCTCTATGTTCAGTATCTGTCCATATCAAACTTTCTTTTTTTCCCTTACATAAAAACAGCTACTTAACCTAAAGTCAGCCTTCATTAAAAGCCTGTATAACAGCCCTTCCTTGAGAGTTTCCTGCAATATTTTGTATCATAGTCATGAAAAGAGCAAAGTCAGTTGGATCAGTAGTACTAGGACGATATATCTAAGCCTTATCCTCAGCATAAGAGAAGTTCAAAGCAGTAGCAGCACTTTAGATGAATAGTGCACCTGAGAGATATAGCTGAAATACTTGGAACCCAACTCAGCTCCTCTCACATCCCTTCCTGAGTCCCGAAGCATGCTGTCATATCATTAATTGAAACTGCTGGCTTGCTGTGAGCTCTGCGGTTCATTCGCTCACAGCAGTGTGCGTTAGCAGACGTTCCAGTGTTTTATCAAAGCACAAGGGAGACTTTTTTGACAGCTTTAATATGGCACATACAAACAAAAAGGATCAAAAATTGATCTGGCTTTTTATAGCCAAGACCAATCTATCAAAAATGGTCCTGATCATAGAGAAGGGCTCTGAACATCCCTTTTAAAACACACTAATATTGTTTATCACTGAATATATAGTGAATATATATAGGTTAGAGAAGTTGTTGTTTTTTGCATAATCCACATACAATATGCAGAGAAAATAAACATATATGGGTACCTAAGCTGTGCTCACTTTTGTTAACATGAAAGGTGAACTGAAGGGAGGAGGAAGTGTCACTTATGTTTCAGGCCAAGGCCTTCTGCAGAGAAAGGAGAAGCTGCCTCTGAAGCACTCCATCAGTCATACCTTTATATACTAGCGTAGCTACACCACAGACACTCTTGAGTAAAAGACAAATGACAGCCCAACTGGGAGTTGCCTAATGGCATTTAAATGGACTTTGAGGGCATGAGGAAAATATGGACTCATGATCTCATGAGATACAAATGCAACTCTTTGGCATTAATGTCAAGCATTACATCTGGTCAAAATCAGGGTCTACGCTATCATCCTCACAGTGACACATGCTAGTGGTAGCATCATTCCATTACTTTAACAGCAGGAACTAGGAAACCGGTAAGGATTAAGAGAAGGATGAACAAACTCAAATACAGGGGTCCTTGAATAAATCCTGCTCCACTGTGCATGCTCCTCATGACACAGTGGGATAAAACACAAATCCAACATAACACTGGTCTTTGTCCAAAAAAAATCTGACAGCCTAGCTAGGTGCATGATATAGAGAAACATGGAAATGCTTTAGTGCAGATCATATAAAGGGAAGCAAGAGAGACAATGCACGAATCTAGGTGTGCAAACCTGATGACATGCTAAAGAGGAAGAATCATTGTGATGATTACTGTGCTTCTACAAAGTACTGAAAAACAGGGTATAAAACTGTTTTAAATTACACATCTTTAGGGTTGTTTTTTAAACCAAACATCTAAAATATACTTAGTATATAGTATTTACTGAGTATAATGTTTAAACTCCAAAATAGAACAGTTAATTTCATCTATCTAAAACACACTGACTTTTTTTTTTTTTTTTTTTTTGTAAGGGAGGAGATGCAAATGGCAGTTACTTTTGACCACACGTACATTGGTTATCAAAGAAGCAACACAGAAATCTGGATATAAAATAGAGGTGCAGTAAAGGCGGTGGACAACAGCCTGCAGCCACTGTATTTTTTTTTTTCTGGTTTCTTATTGTACATGTTAATAGCCTAGTCAGTTCAGCTCACATATGGCACTAATGACAACACCAGTTATTTAGGAGGACACTCCTATAACTTGATTACTGTTCAAATCGCAGCATGTCATAGCAAACACTGATTGTGCAGAGCAAAAATAATTTGAGTGTATTCACTGTGATGGCACTAACCTGCATGTGCACACAATTGTTTTGCATCAGATTCAAACTGGTATTAGTAGCTTAACCACAATTGAAGAGACCAGATGTCTTGAGTTTTTTGCAAACCCTGTTGTACAGCCTATCCTCATTTTAAAATGTAACATCACCACATGCAAAAATATATTGACATTAACAGCTTTTACTTTAATTTTTCTAATGAAATGGTCAGCAATTTGTCAACAAATATAACCTAGCACAGTGATAGTACCATCAGACAGTGTGGTATACGCTGATGTAACTGATGTTGTCTAAAGCACATCATCTGATGGATCCATAAAGACATTCCCCTTTAACTCATATGGGAAAAAGTTTTGAAGCTGACAGGCTCTCCAAAGTCTTGTGATGGAACTGTGAGCTTGGCAGGCTACCAATGCACTAAAATGATTTGTCAAATATTTTATAGTGCATGCACGGACCTACGGTACAACGGTGCTTCTTACCTCCTTGTCTGTCTTGAGGATGTTCTCTGTGGCAACAGGGCTTACAGCTGTGCCCAAAGGCTTGACCACAGCATTTGCCACCTCCGTGCCCACGGTGGTGGGATACGTGTGCAGGACACTGAGGTGGCCCTGGTCACTCTGCACCACCAACTGCAGCGAGCGCCACTCAGAATACATGCTGCTGATGTCTGCTGCACTCTACACACACCTCCTGCCTCCACCTGCAGACACACAAATCCAAGAGTCAATTTAATATGACAAGTTGGGAAAACTATGGAAAGGCTACTTGGCTCATATCTAGCACTAATGCGGTTGTGTCCTCCGTCCCGTTGTGAGAATACTTTTCCATAGCTGTCAATATGTAACCCTGCTGACAGAGAAACACGCACAACCCTTACGGTGCAATATTCTTTCAGATTATCGTTTTGATCTTGACGACTATCAAAGATCCATCCCGCGGCATAACTTTAACTTGGTTAACTGATTTACCATCGTCTTATGTAGCTAGCTCGTGTATTTTGGTGGAGTGAGAAAGCAGACTTAAAACGTAAATACCTTTACAACAGCAACATTGTGAACAACAAGATGGAATTGTATTAAAACAATTGCCATGTGGCGTGTTGATGCATAAAAAATAGCGTATGATAAAACCATGTAAAGAGTCTGAAGTCATGTTCATTGATATAACGTTAACGCTAGCTAGCTATAGTTTTGACAGTAAACAGGACCCATCAAACAGCCCAGGTTTTTCTGTTGATGCTAACGTTACGCTCTCTACTTCCAGAAATAAAAAAGTATCAAGGCTGACATTGATTAGCACGACTTCAAAAACGTTACTAGCTGGCGTTTATGCCATCTAAGTGTAAATGAAGTGAAGGACCATTTGTATCTTAAACCTTGGGTCGGTAACAAACCGAGGAATCACAACCAGGAAACGGTACTGAAAATGATTAGCATGCTAACGTTAGCTAGCATTGACATCAAAACATCTTCCCCATCTTTCTGATGACATATGCTGAAGTTAGCTGCTGGCTGGCTTCTGTGTTACATGTCTGTCTCTCTGGATAAGACAAGAAGCTGTCGTTAAGAGAAACCGGCGGCTCTACGCGCTAACTTATCAGTTAGTTATCTCAAACTACGTTGCAGTTGATCCGACGTTGCTAGCTAGTTTAGCTAATGTTCGCTGCGCTAGCCCGTTCGTTGACATTAGCCGAGCTGGCTGTCATTTTGCTAGCTACCTAACTTTGCAAAGACGCTAACGTCTGCTCGCTTGCTACGCAACTAAGGGAGTTTCAGTTTACCTTGACGAACTGGAAATGTTGTCATAACAGAGCTCCGAAACTCGCAGTTTGTGCTTTCTATGTATCCTTGTCTACACCATAACAGCGTCCATCTTCGCAATGTCAAGGCTTGAATATTGCAGCTTGATGAGCTAACGGGAAACAGGATGCGTAGATTGTCGCCCCCTGCCGTGCGGGTACAGCAACTGCACCAGACATGATGCTGCCTTCAAGGTGCTCCTTCTAGCGAACACAAGTTCCCCCTAAAATTCTCCCTGGTGCCCATCCAGGTGCTCTTGGTCAGATTTGAACCAAAAAGCTGTTGTCTTTATGATAGCCATTGTTTAGTTTTGCAAAAAAAAAAAAAAAAAAATGGTCTGATTATTAATGTTGTCATCTCTCTTAGGTTGATGTGATGTTCAGGAGCTATGGTAAAGGTTTCTGGAAGTAACAGGATTTTCTGAATAAAATATAACAAAGAATCAAATGGAAGATTAGGTTAGGGGAGACATGACAGATTACGGAGAATAGTATTCACACAAAGTGTCTTAAAGCCTGCCTGATTTCATTCTGGTGTTGCAGTCTTAGGCGAATACTACATGATAAGATGAAAAAAGTTACATAGTGTTTTTAAAAGCAGGGTATGATTTGTACTGCAGTCCCATATAGTAGGGTACCCTGATCCAGTTTGGAATTAATTAGGAGCTAAGAGAAGGTCCTAAACTTGTATTAAATGGTCACCCATAGGATATAGCCACCAACCCCACATATACTTAACGCCAGCACACTCTATCACCTGAGCTACAGTCACCCACATATAGAGGATTCTATCTATATTTCCTTCAACATTTTTTTTAAAGGTTTGCCTGGTTAAAATGCTCTTCATAGGGCAACAAGATACACTGAACATCCTCAATACTTGTATTTGATCCAATATTTAGACCTATGGGTTCGAATTATTGAAACTGAATTTCTGCATTTAATAGGCCCATCTTTCATTGAGAAAAGACTGACAAATTAACCACCAATATTCATGAAATGATAACTTGCAGTTAATACACCAGCTGACCAGTTGAAGGTGCTTTCATCCACCTGCAGGGGGAAGCCTTGATACAGAAAAGTTTCCTACGCTGTCACTTGGTAGACAGTCAGTGCACTCCGGCCATGTTAGACTGTTATGTCGCCTATGTATAAATTCTGAAATGGTAAATAAGACTTGACTCGTGAAGTTCACAGTATGTGTCACCACATCGTATACAGATTCTTTTCTGTAGGTTATTCATACTTTTAGCCAAACTAGAAAAAAACTTTTAGATAACCAAAATAATGAACTTTTGCAAAAAGTTGGGGGACTTGCAAGAGCCAGATTTATCTCCAGATGCCAAGATATCCTGAATTGTAGTCCCTGGTATGGGTCAGACTCCCAAAGTCTTTCATTAGACCCACTCAGCCTGCTGAATGATAATTTCAAGGCTCCTACAGAGCCACACCAACACTACGCAGCTGTATTCACTGGCTGAGTGGTACTTCCTGTGAGTTGTAAACTGTCTTTGACAAGTAAAATGAGTGGAGTGCCCATTTAAAGAAGACTATTCATTTAGCCCTGATCTCAGTCCATGAGCCCAGACTGTACCACAGCTGTAGGTAGGCAACCCTTAGCCCCTCTCAGTGGCTCCCTCTGGCTTTGACAAATAATTATATGGAAATTATTACATGGTTATTTATACACCCAAAAAAAAATCGCCAACTAGATTTTATGGAAATAGTGAATGGACCTGCACTTGTATAGAGCTTTTCTAGTCTACAGAGCACTCAAAGCGCTTTAACACTACATGTCACATTCATACATTGGTGGCCGAGGCTCTCATATAAGGTGCCACCTGCCATCAGGAGCAATTTGGGGTTCAATATCTCGCCCAAGGATCCTCTGACATGCTCACTAAAGGATCCAGGGATCAATCCCCTGATATTCTGATTAGTTGACAACCTCCTGAGCCACAGCTGCCTCCTGCCATATGTATATGGCCTGTGGCCTTTTCCTCTAAATGTTGCCCAACCTCAATAGTGGTGGCTAATCTTGAGTCTCCCTAGCTAGGCTAGCTATAGATTCCAATCCAGAAAAGGAAAAGTCTAAGAGGAAAATGGAGAATTTAATAGTGTGTGGACAGATGTGTTTGCTCACTCTGCCAACACTGCGAAGTTTCAAAGTATCAAATAATTAAAAATAGCCCACAGAAATGGCCCCTTTGAAAGTAAAATATCCTGATTCCTGTATACTATGATAATAAAAAAAATACAATTGTTATAAACAAAATTATTAAATGACTTTATTGCAAGCTCATGTTAAATTTCAATAGTGGTCAACAAACATTAAACAATACATTTGCTCTGAGAGGATAACAGCAAAAGATCATCTGTAAGCCTGTAAGGATCCTTTCAGTAGGGGGCAGCAGAGACTCACTTAAAAAAGGTAACAGTCTTAATATGTAAACAGCCTGTCTGTAAATACTGTAAGTTATTAATTATCATACTTATATGATTCTTGATTAATAAATATGAACGACGGATCTATACCCAGAGACCAAAACAAGGCTACTCTCAGTTATACACATTTGTATCAAATGCTGCATCCCCATAGTGACGGGACATGTGGATGGTCTGTTCGTAATTTCTTTCAAGTTCAAAGCAGTCCTGAAGATCCTGTTATTAGGGACCTCATGTCTTTGCGCTCCAGTGTGCACACACGTATATCAAGCATGTGCGGAAAGAGAAGTCATTTAAGTACAACTCGTAAGTATTCATTATAAATGTAAATCAGATGTTCTCTGTGAAAAAAAGCTGATTTGGGCATAAGGCCCACATATGGTGCAAAGCCTTTCTCCAAAACAAGCTACATAAAACATCCAACATTCCCAGCATGCCCTGCTCTGTATCTGCAAAACAGACCCAAATATCTTTATCGTATGCTTGCATCTTTAAACTGAAACATTATACATTTAATACAGGTGTAAACCAGATGAGAAAGAGAAATGAAAAAGCAAATAGTCCTCTGTGTTGCAGATTGTAGCAGTCACCAGTGGCCATATTGTCCCAGACCACTCTTAAATGTCTATGGCTTCCACATGAGTGCTCAGTAAGCCAAACCACACATCTCTCCTGGATGATATCCACAGGGGGGAGAAGCACAAGAAAGAATTATGGATGAAAGTCAGCATTCTTCTTGCCATCATCCCTCCATGTTTGGTAAGGTGAACTTGCAGCTCAGGGCTGCTATGATTGGTAGCCGTATGCTAATGCATCTAAAGGGCAGAGGGAGAAAAGCAGCTGTTGAAACATTGACGTTCAAACATTTAAAAATCTGTTATGTTATGAATCTGCTTGTATCTACAAACACTCCCATCAGACTACAAATGGAATTAATGTGGAGCCATTCATTCCGTCCAACATAAACATTAGTCAGTTTAAAGGATCTGTTCACTCAAAATACAAAACTGAATTTTCTGACTTATCTCTAGTGTTACACAGACAGGAATACAATTTTTATTTGCCTAGGTTTTTAACTAACTGTCTATGTGGTTTCTATGTCCATCCCAATGATTGTATATAAAGATGACGACATGAAGTCAAAACATCTTGATTGTCTCCTGGTGGCTAACTGTAGTGTAGGTCATGAACCTCATTCCCTCCAGGTAAGTTAATGGGACATGGGCCAAACAAAAAAATCAAAATACACATCAAATACATTTTTCTCAAAGATGCTCTCTGGCATTTTAGGTAGTTCTCAGGGGTTTACCATGCTGACCTATGTTCAAGTATTTTTTTTTAAATAAGTTTGGTTTTAACTAGTTATCTGATGCTATAAAAAGAGGGTGTGGCGTCATGATTGACAGCAGGGTGGGTCAGTCTGTGTTTGTGATCAGTGGTGTTACTCATGACTCGGTCAGACTGGTGTATGGGCGGGAACTTGATACCGCGGTTCCACTTCCCCATCACTACTGTGCAGACTCCGGCTCCATAAGTGTAAGATGCGTAGTGCCTGTATCCGGGATATTTTGGCTTCATTTTTGCACAGTGGGAGGAAATGGAGACATGTCGTCCATCTTTATATACAGTCTATGGCCCAACCCAATCAAATAGAGGTGAATGTAATTTCACGTGTAACTCCAGTAGATAGCACACACATTAAAAACTGTGAGGTCTTTGGGTCCATCCACCTTAACCATGAAATTTTGTAGCTGAATTTTTGCCACAAACACAATTCCATTTACCTCCACTGTATTGGGGCTAAGGCAGAAATCTTACTACTATTACTTTTATGTCTGCACATTAAAGAAAAGGTTCAACAACAGTGACCTTTACATTATATTTCTTATATAGATTTAAAAAACAAGATACGTTAAATTAATTAGTGTGTTTCTGATAAACACAAAACTCTCTAAAGAAAAGTCCGTAAGTATATTCCCATTGTCAAACTATTCCTATAAATATTAACCCAACTAACTTTTAAAAATTCCCTACATGGCGTGAAATGGCCGCATACCCTGTCACCACTCACCTGAATGGAACTGTGTTGTGCAACACAGTCCCTCTCCTCGCGCCGTCCGGTAAATGGGTGACACACACACCCTAGTTGCTGGGGGCAGGTGTGTGAGGCGGGTTGACTGAGAGTCGGGAGGCAAATAGAAGGAGGAGCGTTGGCTGGGAGCAGAGCTTTGCTGTCCCTCCCAGGTGAGCCAGTAGCCCCTCAGACCGCCTGCGCTGCTCTTCCACTCCACCTGCACCGAGTCACTACCCACTGTGGTCAGCTGGAGGTCTGCCAGGGCTGGGGTCACTGGAAATGAAGATCACAACGATGTTAGCCAATATATATTTTAAAAGGAAAAAAGAACCGAGAAGAGCATTTTAGAGAAGATCATATAAATGAGGAGGAGAAAACAGAAATGCTTTAAAAGAACTTGTACAGTAGAAAAAAGTGCATGACTGGCTCAAGCTCCTCCAGGTGCTCAGAGCTGCACTTTGAGTAGTCAAACCTGAATGAAACTGTAGTAATTATCGGAAATTTAAGACCCAGAGAGGACTAGGCTGCATAGGATTAGGATAAGTTTGCAGTAAATGGATCCTTGATCATGAAGTCTGACTGCATTTCTTTCATCCTTCA